CTCTTCAACTAAGTACGGAGGTCCTCATAAAATTTTTTCTGAATTTTTTTTTAGGTGATTTGGCGCGTCAGATTCATGGTCTAATACACACAAAAAATTGAGAAATTTGAGTAATTCCTAGAAAAAAGGTTGTAAATGCGGAAAAGGACGTTAAAATGGTGTGAGTAATACATGGTGGTTCCCCAACTCATTACAGAAGTCCTCATAAAGTTTTTTTAGAATTTTTTTCTGGGGCGGCAGATTCATGGGCTAATACACATGACAAATAAGGGTTTGTAATTCCTACCCAAGGTCCTTACAAAGTTTTTTCAAATTTTATTTTTGAGTTCTCTGAGGTATCAAATCCATGGGCTACTACATACGAAAAATTGAGGAATTTGGCTAATTCCTAAATAAGGGCCTATAAATGCGGAAATAGGCGTTAAAAATGGTGTGAGCATACGCGGTGGTTCCCCGACTCCTCACAGAGGTCCTCATAAAGTTTTTTCAAAAATAATATTTGGGTTCTTTGGGGTGCAAGATCCATGTGCTAATACATACGAAAAATCGAGAAATTTGGGTTATTCCTAAAAAAGGCATGTAAATGCGGAAATAGGCATTAAAAATGATGTGAGTATACGCGGTGGTTTCCTAACTCATTACGGAGTTTCTCATAAAGTTTTTTCGGAATTATTTTTTGGGTGCTTCAGGACGCCAGAACCATGGATTAACACACGAAAAATCGAGGAATTTGGGTAATTCCTAAAAAAGGTCCTGTAAATGCGGAAATAGGCCTTAAGAATGTTGTGAATACATGTGGTGGTTCTCTAACTCATTACAGACGTCCTCATAAAGTTTTTTAGAAAAATATTTTGGGTGCTACAAGGCACCAGATCCATGGGCTAATACACACGAAAAAATAGAGGAATTTAGGTAGTTACTAAAAAAGGGTCTGTAAATGTAGAAATAGGCGTTAAAAATTATACGAGTATACGTGGTTGTTCACCAACTCATTACGGAGGTCCTCATTAAAAAAACTAGAAATTATTTTTAGGTGCTCCGATGTGCCAAATCCATGGGCTAATACACACAAAAATTCGAGGAATTTGGGTAATTGCTAAATAAGGGTTTGTAAATGCGAAAATATACGTTAAAAATGGTATGAGTATATGTGGTGGTTCCCCAATTCATGACGAAGGTCTTCATAAACTTTTTTTTAGAAATTTTTTGGGAATTATGAGGCACCAGAACCATGGGCTAATACACACGAAAAGTTGAGGAATTTGGGTAATTCGCAAAAAAGGACTGTAAATGCGGAAATATCTGTTAAAAATGGTGTGAGTATACGTGGTGGTTTCTCAACTCATTACGGATGTCCTCATAAAGTTTTTTTTTTAAAAAAACAATGGGTACTCCGGGGTGCTAGATCCATGGGTTAATACACACGAAAATCGAGAAATTTGGGTAATTCCTAAAAAAGAGCTATAAATGTGGAAATGTGTAACACCCATAAATTTTTTGAGCTAAGACTCGAACTGTTCTTCATAGTGAGTGAGATTTTTGCAAGGAATTTAAAATTTCTTGAGTATTAAGGTTACTCGATGTTGCACCTTGAGTTCCAAGAAGAACCTAAGAGAAAAGCATTCAAGTCATTCCAAGTTTTTCTTAAGTTTTGGATCAACTTCAAACGACCATAACTCCTAGCACAAGATGAGTTAGGTGAGCTACAAGATAAAAAGCCCTTCGAGTCCTCTTTCCAACGCCACCAAGTTTTCTCAATTTCGAGCTCTAAGTAAAAAGTTATGACGGATTTACTAACGTCGCGCAAACATGGCAGCAGCTCCGTGACGCGGAGCCAACACGGACCTCACTGCCTAGTGAAAGATCTTTCCGACTCCTAGCTAGTTTTATTTATTTCTTTAAGGGTATTTTAGTCCTAAAAACCCTTAGGAGGTCATCTAAATTGCCTTAAACGAATAGAAAATCAGTTTTCACAAATCAAAACCCTCTCATTCACTCGAAAGATTCTTCGCTCAAGAAATTCAAGAAATGCTAAGGCTAAGGTTCATCTTTCAAGATTTTTCCTTCAAGAAGATGGTTCCTTCAGGTATGTAAACTTCCATAGTGTTGGGTTTGTTCACCCACACGCCAATCATGTTAATTTCATCTTTAAATTCGTTCTAAAAGTTGAAGCTTTGATGTTCTTGTTATGTATTCATGAATTTGCTTTCGTTCTTGAATTGGGCTGAGATTAAGGAGTTCTTGAGGTTAATGTGTCGGTATATAGAGGGGTTAGAGTTAGATTCTAGTGTACATGTGCTGGGTATCTAAATCTAAAGAGAGATTGAGAAAAAGAATCAAATTTAGGCGAATTGGGGTTAGAAAATGAAGAAATTTCGTCGGTCAAAATTTGGAACCCCCTCCGCGCTGCGCAGCCACTCCCCAAATTTGGGAATTTCTGTTTCGCGTCGCGGAGCTTACACGACGTGTTCTGCCTCAAAAGATGTTTTCGAAACCAAATTTTAAAAGCCTCTCCGCATCGCGGACCCACTCTCAAATATTGATTTTCAATCTTTTCTCATATTTAGCTATCTAAAATCATTCCTAAACATCACGAGACCTTTCCTATCACAAATCACAACCTTGAATTCATAAATCACATTCAAGGTATAGTTAAGAGTTAAGTTTTTGAGAATTCTTTCGAACATTCTAAGAAAGTCCTTTAAGTCCTTTTGAGGAGTCTTCTACAATTTCTAATAACTTGTTTCAAGACTCGAGCAAGTGAGTACGAGTGAGGAGAATGTATTCATGAGTCTATTTCATCATTACAAGATCCTTTATACCATGAAGTATAACTCTTGAATTTATAAACATTCAAGAGAGGGTTAAATGTAGAGTTCAAGAAAGCTTTTGAGTTCAATTGTGAATCCTTGAGATCAACTATCGATTTGAACTAAGTTTTGAGAAAGTAATTCATAGAATGAGAAGAGTCGTATACCTGAGTTCCTTATTGGTATTTTGACCCTAGAGTCAAGTTGTTCATCCCCATAACTTCCGCATAAATTCCATCAGTTTAGTATCTTTGAAAGGAGTAGTATTTTCAAGTTCTAAGTCTTGAGTATCGAGTTCCTAACCCTTCCGAGATTATAATCCTAATCATGGGACTATTACCTATTACCCATGAAGTCCATGAGTTGAGTTGTTAATGCCCATAATTCCGCATGAACATTATAAGTCGAACAATCTTGAGATGAGAAGTATCTTTGAGTCCTTGAGTTGACCCAATAGCTTTTGCTTAAACAAGAAATTCAATAAAATGTACAAGTATTTAATTGCAGATTCAGTAACTACAACCAACTATGAGTCAAGTGGCAAACTCATAACCCATAAATCATTACTAAAAACAGTGAATACCAACCTAAAAATTACTGACCTTAAATAGAAGTCGGTAATTTCCGACCTCCAGAGGTCGGTATTGTTAAAAAGAATAAAAAATAAAAAAACTAAAAAAACTTTAGAAAACCGACTACAAGGAGTCAATTTTTATGAAAAATAAAGTGGAAAAATCAATTACCGACCTCTGGAGGTCGGAATTTTTCCCGGAAAAAATGAATTACAATAAAAACTAACCTCTTGATATCGGTATTAAATAAATCAATAAATAAAAATATTTTATTTTTTCTCAATTAAATATAAAAAAATTGAGAAATATTTGAATTAATTTTATTTAAATCGTCTTTCAGAGGACAATTTTGTGTAAAATAAAATAAAAAATTATAATACCGACTTCCTAAAGTCAGTAAAATTAAACAGTATGTAATTAAATTAATTTTCATTAAAATATTTATATAGTGACTTCCAGAAAATTAATAAATTAATATTTTCAATTAACTTTAAATAAATCGTCCACCGGATGACGGTTTATATAAGTTCAAAAATAAATTAATATAAAATACCGACTTTCTTATGTCAGTATTATTTAATTAACATGACTACTTTTTATTTATCTTACAATTTAGTGTGATACCGACCTCATGAGGTCGATATTTTTTATTTAATCTAATTACTTTTAATAAAAGTGATATCCGGAGGTCGGTTTGTTTAAAATATTCCTATTAATCATAATTTTGCTATTGTGCATAGTACTAAATTTTCATTTTATGAAATAGGCAATAAAACATTGTAAAGTACTATACAAAGCAAGATCTATCAAAATTTTTACGTTCGATCTTGAATGAATGTCAAGTGTAGTGATCATACCGTAGGCAATGACATGTAAAAGATAATTCATCAGAGTATAAAATATGTTGATTATATACTCGTCGAGTAGTTTAACAAATCAAATCTTATATATTAATTTTAGATATGAAATATATTATCAATTAAAGAAATATCGTTGATCTAAGGAGATTTATATATTAACTTTGATATTAATAAACTTCTGTTGATCGATAAAATTAAATTTATATAATTAGGAGGTATATATATATATATATTATTGACACCCAATTTTGATTGACTTATTCGATTAAATACGTATTTTTAAAATATATTACGAGTTTAAAATCTTAATCGATTTTGTCTAAAATTATATATTATAGTATCGCTGATTTAAAAATTTATTTTTATTATTATTAAATTATTATATTTATTGATAGTTAGACTCAAAATAACTACTTTATTTAAATATTTTTAAATTTAGGTGTGTTTAATTTATACGAAAATACTTTAATATATGTAATATTTTATTAATTGAATAACATTTCTTGAATTTCCCCTTAAATCATTTAAATCATAACCTCTTTTGTTCAATTTGTTTAATCCATAGCCCTCTTCCTATTCAATTCTATTTTATATTCAATTTCATGTCAATTATGGCCATTTGCTTATTTTAATTATATAGCCTTTCAACACTTTTCAATTATAGCCTATCTGATTCAATTCAGTTCTCAAAAGCCCCATCCTTTAATCTCAGTCATTCGTTTATCCAAATCAACTACAAGATCAAATCTTCATTCTTATCTATTTTAAAGCAAAAGAACCAAAACCCTAAGCCATCCTTCTTTTTTCATCTTCCTCTCATCTCCTCCTCCCCTATCTCTCCCTCTCATCTATTCTCCTAGCTGCTCAGGCGAAGCAGCGAACGGCGCCGGCCAGCGAGCTGCCGCGAAAACCAGTCGGCAACCGGGCGCCGCCTCTGATCTGTTATTCTCGCCAGCAAGCGAAGGCCGCGCCGGCCAGAAGCAGCGCGAGGACCAGCTCCGACCGGCGAGCCTCTTTCTCTCTTCCTCCTCCCCTCCAGTGAGGACGAAAACAACAAACAGCAGCTCCAGCTGCTCTGACCAGCGAGCGGCGAGCAGCCAACTCCGGCGAAGGCAAGGTATTCACCGACGAACCCATCGAAGACGACAAAAACAACAACGAGACCCTCGCATCTCCATTCCTCTCCTCTTCGGCGAAGTTCTAGTAATCTAGGTATTTGATTAATCATCATACATACATAACAGCACTTATAATAAAGCTAAATTGAAGTTTACCTGGACTTTTACATGGTCCAACAATTTCTCAAACACGTCTAGAAATCTAAAACTATTCAAATTTATTTAAGCTCTAGTTATATGAGACTGGCAAAACTAGATAATCAAACTTGGGATGGAAGGAGAAACAATGTCCGTGAATGTAGATTTATTAGGAATCTAGACTCTCTAGAGAAAAATTAACTCTTGACTCACTTGAGCCTTTATCTCAATATGAAACTGACACTCTGAAACAATAGAGTTCATTCAGACAATCTTTGTATGGAAACAAGAAGACATACTGATTCCCAAGTAATTTGTGACATACATCAGTCATCTTACCCAAGAGTCAGTTGTATGGAAGTTAGTGAGCACTCTTCTGCATTTATTTTACGTAAAGACCATCTTTGTTTGAAAGATATACAAACACACCACTGGATAAAACAAACAAGAAACCTCAGAATTAACAAGTGGTGCTTAGGTATAAATTGCCATGTCCTATTGGAGAGCCATTCAAGTCAACAAGGCAGAAGCAAGAACATTTAGTCACTCCTGCCAAAGTTATGTATGCACATATGAAAATAGAAAGGCTGCATGAAGTAGTAGCATCAAGTCAAACCATTTTACCTTTGTAGTATGGAAACCACTAACATGTGCACATAGATAAGACTCAACTTCTGACCTCCTCGAGCGGACAACATTTCTGAAACTAATTTCAGCATCTCCCATAAAAAAGAGACCTTTAATCAATAAGACAGTATTAGTTATCTATAATGTGTTTAAATTTCTAAAGTTCAAGTATAGTTGTTTTCTATAATGTGTTTGTGTCCATCTAGTATTGATACTTAGCTTTAATTTTGTGATAATTGTTTGTGTCCATCGAGGATTGGCTTAGCTTTAAATTAGGTGATAATGTATTTGTTTAGCATAAGTACCAACACTAGCTGATCCTATTGATGACAAAATTGATTTTCTTGCAAAATCAATTTGTGTCCATCTAGTGTTGACACTTAGATTTAAATTTACAAATAATATATTTGCTAAGCATAAGTACCAACACTAGCTGATCCTATTGATGACAAAATTAATTTTTTTGCAGGATCGATTTGTGTCAATCTAGTGTTGATACTAAGCTTTAATTTAGGAATATTGTGTTTGATAAGCATAAGTACCAACACTAGTTGATCCTATTGATGACAAAATTGATTTTCTTGCAAGATCGATTTGTGTCTATCTAGTGTTGATATTAAGCTTTAATTTTGGAATAATGTGTTTGTTAAACATAAGTACCCAACACTAGTTGATCCTATTGATGACAAAATTGATTTTCTTGCAAGATCAATTTGTGTTCATCTAGTGTTGACATTTAACTTGAAATTTAGAAATAATATATTTGTTAAGCATAAGTACTAACACTAGTTGATCCTACTGATGCCAAAATTAATTTTCTTGCAAGATCGATTTGTGTCCATCTAGTGTTGATACTAAGCTTTAATTTAGGAATATTGTGTTTGATAAGCATAAGTACCAACACTAGTTGATCCTATTAGTTGATGGATTTAGTTGTTGGAATTAATTCAAAAGTAGTTATAGTTGATGTTGTTTAGTTGTTGAAATAGGTTCAAATAAAGTTTAATTAACCCCTAGCTAGTTTGACTCATTATTTAAAATGATGTGGTTTAGTTGGTGGATTTAGTTGTTGGAATTAAGTCAAAACTAGTTAGAGTTAAAAAGTTGTTAGTTGTTGAAATAAATTTAAATAAATAATGTGGTTTAGTTGGTGGATTTAGTTGTTGGAATTAAGTCAAAACTAGTTAGAGTTAAAAAGTTGTTAGTTGTTGAAATAATTTAAATAAATAATGTGGTTTAGTTGGTGGATTTAGTTGTTGGAATTAAGTCAAAACTGGTTAGAGTTAATATTGTTTAGTTGTTTAAATAAGTTCAAATAAATTATAATGTGGTTTAGTTGGTGGATTTAGGTGTTGAAATTAAATCAAAACTAGTTAGAGTTAAAGTTGTTTAGTTGTTGAAATAATTTAAAATAAATAATGTGGTTTAGTTGGTGGATTTAGTTGTTGGAATTAAGTCAAAAACTAAACTAGTTAAAGTTAAAAAGTGTCTAAATTGTTTAAATAGGTTAAAATAAATAATGTTGTTTAGTT